ACCGAGGAGGCGGAGGTGGAGCCGTTGCCGCTGGAAACGACAGTCGAGGCTCCACGCCTTCATGAGACGGACGGCGGTGCTGTGCCAGAGGAGGCGGAGCAGCCACAGCTGTACACGACCGAGGAGGCGGAGGTGGAGCCGTTGCCGCTGGAGACGACAGTCGAGGCTCCACGCCTTCATGAGACGGACGGCGGTGCTGTGCCAGAGGAGGCTGGGCAGCCACAGCTGTACACGACCGAGGAGGCGGAGGTGGAGCCGTTGCCGCTGGAAACGACAGTCGAGGCTCCACGCCTTCATGAGACGGACGGCGGTGCTGTGCCAGAGGAGGCTGGGCAGCCACAGCTGTACACGACCGAGGAGGCGGAGGTGGAGCCGTTGCCGCTGGANCGACAGTCGAGGCTCCACGCCTGCATGAGTCTGCTAGTGGTGCTATTGTGAAGGAGAAAGAGCTCCCGGAGCTGTTCGTTAGTGAGGAAGGCGTAGTGGTTCCGCGACCGCTTGAAGTTACTGTGAGCCGAGTCTGTGTGCGGGATTCAATGGTGAGTGCGGACAGTCAAGGTGAGGTGCCTCTTTTATATACGGCTGAAGAAAGTGAGGTGCCTCTCTCTACCTTAAATGGTGGAGTATCTCAGTCTAATTCGAATGTACCAAGGTCTGTGTCGGTTGGTAGACCGGCTGTGAATTATTCTTTGCGTATTTCGCGTGGTGAGGCCAAGGCTGATGTTGTGGAGACTTCGATGTTGTCGTCTGTGAGTGTATCGGAGGGTAAAGGTTCGTCTTCTGGTGGTATATTTCGTCGGAGGCTCTCGGGTGTGTCTCCTTGTGTGCCCTCTGTTGGTAAGAACACGACGCGCGAGGAAGGTGCGCTTGCTGATGAGGTGGCTAGCAGGGGCGTAGACCGCGTCGTCCCACTTTCAACTTCCATGTTAAGTGCGGTGGAGGATGTGCCGAGGAGTGGAAGTAGTATGCGTGCGGGAAGCTCCAACCAGCCGTTGTCTGCTGCGAATTTTGTGTCGTCGACAGAGTCTACTCGTCGTGTATTTACCAATCTTTATCCGGATGAAAACTTCCGTCAAGGTACCGTTGCGGTTCCGTTGGTGTTGGTTGGAAAGGCACACGTGCAATCTGTTTCTTCTGATGCCCCTGCCCGCGAGGCAACGGTGGAGATCATGGGCGGAAAGGAATTGCCACAGTCGGTGGGTCTTCTCAGGGCAGTGGAGGAAGTCGGGGAGGGCGAGAACCACCAAAGTAGTGGCTGGAGCTCGGGTGCGAATTCCACGACGGCGGGCGTCATTCCACGGAGAGAGGTGCGCTTTGCTCCACGACCTTTGATGCCAACACCACCGCGGCATGTGGAGCAACAGCAGTCGCAGCATCCGCGAGTACGGCAGCAGTACGATACGTACCGCAGTCTTCCATTTTCTGCGACCTATACGTCGGTGATGATGCCGCGCCCGATACTGCGCTCGAATGCGTCAGCATCGTCTTCTGGAGCCTCTCGATCCGTGTTTCCGGTCCTCCAACAGCCACAGCAGCAGCAACAGCCACCACAATATATGTCTGTGTCACCACCGAGTTCGTCGCAGCGACAATCAGTGCCAGACCGTAACTCTGCCTCGCAACGGCGCCTGGGCGAGATCGTCACGAGGCTGGCTAACTCACGCAGCCCGTCGCCAACGCGTGTTGTGCCGCAGTTAATTCAAAACAGGCTACCAGTGGTTCCTACCGCTCCCGCTTACCGTGACGCCCTGTACCGCCTGCAGCGCCGACAGCTGAGTCGCAATTCCAGATACGTAGGCGGGCCAACTGCCGTTCCGCCGCCGCCGCCGCCGCCGGGACAGCAGCTGCAGCTGCCGTACAACACTCGTATCAGACCAGACAGCGGCAGTAACAGGGTGGAACGCCTACCGCTGGGGGGCACATACCCCACATCACAAACTGGGCGTTTTGTTGGTAACAGACCTGTGTATTATTACTAGACGTAACAAGCTCAGTTGTTGTTGTTGTTTTGTTCTTTCGGTGTTTCAGCTGCGGTGTTTTGCGAGTCTCAGCCGCAACAAACGGAGGTGATAAGAAAATTGTGAGGGTGACACGGAGATGAAAGAGTGTCTTACTTTGTTCTACACACACANAAAAAAAAAAGTGGGTGAGAGAGGGCGAGAGAGAGAGAGAGAAAGAAAGAAAGAGCTTGAGCAATGGCTCTGCAGGGTATGCAGAGACAAGATGAAAGTACGCGTAACGGCATTCCAATGGTGCGCTAAGCGGAAGGGAGTGCTCATCAATATGCGGGTTTGCACCTGCCACTTGGAGAGAGACAGATGGACGAAGAATTACAGAGACAGCGGGAGGGAAAGAACAAAAGAAAGAAGAAAGAAAGAGCGTTATCTTATTCTCGAAATAGGGAGTTAGGGAGTTGTGCTTGTGTACGTTTTTTTTGTTTCCCCGAACGTATGCGTGCATGACCCCGGACTTTCTAGTGTTTGTGTTTTTTTTGTTTTGTTTTTTTTTTGTTGTGAACTTTCCGTCTCGCCAAACGCACGCAGAGATGAGGTCTTCTGGAAATGAGCCGTTTTTTATTTCCTCCTTTATCACCGCAAAGAAATTGCTTCGCATATTGATATGTCTTCTTTGTTGCTGCTTATTATTATTACTATTATTATTGCGCGTGTGACTTTTGCCGCTTTCATTGGTTTTGTTTTCGTTTTAAGCCTCTTTCTCTCTCTCTCTCGCTCGCTCGCCCTTTCTCCCCCTCAGAGACACCGACACACACGCACACAATCTCTCTCGGGGCTTTTGTTGTTGTTGTTGTGTGCCTGTGTGTGTGTGTGTGTGTGTGCGCGCTTACGCCAGCAAAGAGTGGGGTTCTCTTTTTTATTTATTTTGGTTACCACTGCACTTGCCCCAAGGAGGGGGGAAGGGTTTATGATCTCAATAGGGAGGAGGAGGAGGACCAGAAGAAGACAAAGAAAAAAAGAAAGAAACAAAAAAAAGAAGAGAGGTGTGGAGATTAAAAAGACCCAAACTATATCTATTTATATCTATGTATGCAGATATGTATTTAAACACCGACAATCGTGTTTGTTCTCGTGTTTTATCTTGGTCATGAACTCATTCATCGTGTTGTGTTATTATGAGAAGGATCTCTGTGAGTGGGGTGGGATTGCTTTCTGTTCTTTGGCTGGTGTAGACGTTTGTCTTCAGTGAATCTATATGTACTCGTGCGGAAGCAGCATGGGCGGAACGAATTTTTCTTTCACAGACCCTTATTACGTGAGACAGTGACCAGACTGTTTCTGTGTGTCACCTCCTGCATTATTGTGTGCATATTTATATGTATGCCTCTCTATTGCTACGTGCAGTTGTTTCTCTTACCTCTGTTTTTTTTTTCTCTTTTAGTCCTATTGAACAATAGACGACAGAAATACCAAGTCTAATATTTTTAAATGTACAACCGACACCTTTCCTCCATGACTTACTGCGATCGTACTCGCCGTCCCGGTGTGATCGCCACGCTGAAAAGCCACGCTATAGCCGAGACCGTGCCCGCCACGCTCCATCACGCACGGCCAGGAAGAGGCGGAGGCGAGAGAGAGGAGAGAGAGGCCACACCTGCTCACCCCTCACTGCGTTGGAATTCTTTTAACGTGCTTTATGCCCCGCGCCACGTACCCACATGCAACACATAACTGTTGCATGTGTTCTCGGTAGTATAGTGGTTAGTATACCCGCCTGTCACGCGGGTGACCCGGGTTCAATTCCCGGCCGGGAAGCTTTTCCCCCCCCCC